GTACTTCCAAGTAAATAGTAGTAGATGAAAGTGAGAATTAGCTGACATAAAGTACCATTGGATTAACAACCCTCTATATGTAGAGTTCATAGATCTGGATGTGACACAGAAGTTACCTCGACTTCTCAACACAATGCAACCCAACAAATATTTATATGGCAAGATAAAATCACCAGTAAAAGATCTTGAAACACAGTCTATCTAAGAATATTGCAATGCAATGATATCATACTGTAACTCTACCAGGCTGGATTTTGAATATGGATAAAAGAAAATTCCCGAGCAATGAGACAAGGAACATTTTAAAGACACATAGCTACAGCATCTGGTACACAGTAGGCACTCCAAAAACATTTAGCGAGTTTGGTAGCTTCAAAAGAAAGCAGCTTAACTGTGGACTACTAGAAAACAGCAACAGCAAGAGAGACCAGCTGATGTATAGCAATCAAGACTGCTTTTGGAAAATCCAGGCTGATTACAAGTCTAAAAGACAGTTATAGAGATTAATGGGCTCCAGCTACAAATTAAAGAGTGTGTGTGTGTGTGTGTGTGTGTGTGTGTGTGTGTGTTTAGAGGAATCACAGGCAGTCATTTTTAAATGCCAGAACCAGCAATATATGTTAAAACATTTTCATCTACTTCATGCTTTTATCATTTAAAAATTATACAAACTCTCCCTCCCCCTCCAAAAAAAAAATACCCAGTTCATTTCCAGTAAAGAAATTCAGTTTCCTGTAGTGACGTTTTTACAGAATTTTAACATATGTGGAAAGCCTTCCCTATAAACACTCTTCCCTATCCTAGGGGAAAAAAAAACAGAAAATCCAACAATAAAAAAATCTTTGACTAGATCCTACTGTCCCTGTTAGCAATTTTCCTTGATTTCTCCTTTTCTTAGCAACCCTTCTTAAAAAAGTCATCCTAATTTGGTACTTCCACTTCTCCTCTCACGCTTTTAAATCCTCTGCAATCTGACTTCTAACCTCATCCATCAACTGAAACTGCTCATTCCTAAATGACCGATGATCTCTAAATTGCAAATTAGATAACATTTTCTCAAGCAGCTTTCTTGACCTCCCTCCTTTGTGTGACACTGTTCTTGGATACTCTCTCCTCACTGGGTTTTCATAAGACTTCAGAACCATTGCTTCTTCTTTTCCCTATCTCACCACTACTGTCTCTTCTTCTGAGTCATCATTGTTAACCTCATGGCTCAGTACTAGACCTTATTCTTTTCTCTCTACACTTTCGAACTTGGAGGTCATCAATTGAATCAATGGGATTCAATTATCAACTCTATGCAAGTGACTCATAGATCTATATATCTGAGAGTCCTAGTCTATCCACAGAGCTCCAGACCCTCCCCACCAAATGCCTACTGGATATTTCAAACTGCATATCCCACAGGCATTTCAAACTAAATGTGACTAAAATAGAATTCATTGCCTCCTCCCACCCCCCAATCTATCTCTCTTAAGAGTAAATTTCCCTATGACTGCTGAGGGCCCCACAATATTTCATCAGCCAGGTTCCCTGCCTCCATTCCCCTTGTCTTTTACTCTGATTCACTGGACATATACAATCAGTAACTCTTATTTCTAGCGGCACAACATCTCTCACATAAGTCCATCCTTTCCATTTATACATTCACAATTGTTTGGGTACTGGCAACTCTGATTAGTGCCTGAACAATTATGGCTAGAGATAGGTAGGTAGATAGATAATCTTATTCTGTACATATCTTTTCAGTCACACTCCCACACAAGTAGAGGAGTCACAGGCAATCATCTTCAAATGGCAGGCGCCAGCAAGGCTCTGCAAAAAAGTTGCTAGCATGTTGTCTCTCCATTAAATTGTGAACTCCTTGAGAGCAGAGGCTGGTTTTTGTTTTGTTTTTCCTATCTTTGTATCTCTAGCATATATCACAGTGCCAGGTACACAGTTGGCACTTAATAAATGCTTATTGACTTGAACTATAATAGCTTCCTATTTGGTGTCCTTGATTCAAATATCTTCCTGTTCTAAACTATCTTCCATACAGGTGCCAAGACAACCTTAAAGTACCAGTTTTACAATCTCAAACTCCACCATTCCCTGAATAAATTCAAATCTTCCTATTATTTCTAGGATATCAAATACAAATTCCCATTTGGCATTC